TTAAAAAGAGCAGTTTTAAGAAAATTTAAGTTTTGTTTTAGCAAAATTTTGGTACAAGTGATCGTCGGGAAGAGTTAATAAATCGGGTCCCCTTTTTTAATTTTTAAAACAATAAAATAAATATATACAAATATGATGTATTTTAATGCATAAAACAAGTTTACTTAAAATATAAAAATAGGATTATTAAGTAAATTTTAAGAATCATAATATTTTTTATAATTTTATTAATAAAATTATAAAAAATATTACAATTTTAAAAAATTTACCAAATAATCTCTTTTTAACTTATAAGTAAAGTTGCAAAAAAGCAGTTTGTGATAAAAATTACAGTTTAAATATTAAAATTGGTCTAGTAGATTGTAAAATATAAATATTTTAGTCTTCATAATTATATATCTTCTTCTTTATTTATATAAATAAAATATATAATTATGAAGACCAAAATACTTATATCTTGTAATTTACTAGATCAATTTTAATATTTTATCTATTATTTTGATTACAAGTCTCTCTCTTGCAACTTTTTCAAAAAATTGAAAAAAAGTTTACTTAGTAAAGAAAAGAAGTTTCTTTAAAAAACTTCAAATTCAAAAATTTCAAAAATAAAAAAAATATTTTTTTTATTGAGTTTGAACCAGAAACACTATTCCTAGATTAGGTGGCAACTAATAAAATAAAGTTTATTTACATTGGTTTTAATTATTACATGAACCTAAACATGTTCATAAACTTCAAACTGATTTTAAACTAAACAAATATTTCAAGTTCAAGTTTAGTTTGAGTTAATAAATTTTAAGATCAGTTCAGGTTCAAGTTTGAAAATCTACAAAATTTAAAGTTTAGTTTGGGTTTAGCCAAACCAAACCCAAACTTCAAAACAACAGAATAAAAAAAATGCTATGTGAAATAATTAGATAAAATCAAAATAAAGTAACTTAAAGCTTTAGATTATCAATTTAATAATTTTAAAACAAAATAAAAAATTTTAAATTACTTTTTTTCAACATTTGTTTGATTAAGCAATATTTTTTTTTATTTGGTAGCTATCTTCATTTCCTTTCATTAAATAAAGCAATTTTTATATACTTTATTTATATTAAAAAAATTTTATAGTTTTGATTATTTTAATAATAAAATTATAAAATTATTAAAATAATTTTAATATATAAAAGTGATTAACAAATAATTAAAAAGAATTCATTAACTAAAGATAAAAAGATACTATGTAAAATAACTAAATAAATGTCAAGATAAAGAAAATTAAGCTTATTAATTTGACAATTATAAAGCAAAAGTAAAAATTTAAATTACTTTTTCTTTACATCTGTTAGATTATTTATGTGAATTTATTTATTTATTTATTTTTTTGGGTAGCTTTTTCATTTTCTTTCATATATTAAAGCCATTTCTGCTATAATTAATTTATATTAAGAAATACATAGTTTAAATAATTTTAACAAAAGAAATATAAAATTAGTACAGTAACTTTTTTATATAAAAGCGATTAATAAAAGCAGTTAGGTTATTAAAAAGGATTTTATTATAGGAAAGAGAATAGTGAGAACTTTTAAGTAAAAAAAAAAAAAAACCCCACATGATATTAATTAAGTCATTGTTAAGAAAAAGTAAATTTAATTTTTGATGTGACTATGTTTTCGATTGAATACCCTAGCAGATCATAGGAAACAACAAAGAGAAAGGGTTAAATCAAAGTACAAATAGAAATAAAAATCAAGTTTAAGTCAAAATAAATTTTTGATATTACTGTAATTAAGCATAAATACAATTTTTTTAGCGATTAGTTTTTTAAATAATATAGCAAAAAATTTAGCTAACATTTTTTTTTAAAATGATACTACGTATATAAGCTAAAACAATTATAGTCATATGATTAGTCATATAAGGATCTTCTCATAATATAGAGATTTCTAAAGCTATTGATATATATATATATATAGTTTACAAAATGTTAATTTATCAGGCCCTACAAATTTTTCTCTAATTATACAAACAATTTCTAATAATTTAAAACAATACAGTAGAAGCTATTATGAATACTACTATTTATCCTCTTTCAATCATAATTGTAGATGTAGAAAATGTGAATTTTAGTGCTATAAAATTATTGGTTTATGAGTTATTAAATTGTAAATGAGATGTTGATTTACAATCTCGAGATATTGCTTATTTTATCAGGATGAAAAACTTTATACTGGATAAGATTAATATTGATTTGCCTAAGGCCGTATTAAAAAAAATTCTAGGTCAAATTATGGAATACATAAAGATTCATAATATTAAACCCAAAAGATTAAAAAAACTTGACATATTTACTTTATCATCACTACTATACACAATTGAAAATAATTCTTAATAGATTTTGCAATAGACAACCATTTAAGAGTTATTATTGATATAACAGATTAAGTAGAAAATTTCTTCTTACAGTCAATTGATAGATCTATATTTTTTGACTTTTTAATAGTTTCCTTATTTTCATGAGTTACACTTAATTACTAATACAGTAGTGTGAAATAATCTTATTTTATAAAAAATTATGCTTACATACATATTTTTATGATACATTTATTAGAATTTTTAAAATTTGTAATTTTTAAAAATTTATAGATTATTTTTATAGTGTGCATGTAGCTTTTTTGAATATAATGTATTTATGTACTTTAATGCTTTTCCATATCATGTATTTTTTATATATATATTGTAATTTTATTTAGATTAAATTTTATAACTTTTTTTACAAATCATTTGGTTTTTCTATGAGTAGATTTTTTTAGATTTTAAATAATTTAAGATATGGTATTTTTATTATCACTTTGATTTTATGATAAAAATTGTAGTATTGGATTTGTATGTATTGTGCCTTTTGACTTATGCTTTCATAAATCTCTATGAGGCTTTAACCCGAATAGATGTATGTGTCATATACTAGCTTTATTAATATGTATATATTATACAAAGGTCTTTGTTACATTAATGAAATTTATTAGATGCAAACTAAATTAATATTAAAGTACTTAGCAATTACTGTAGAGTTTGTATTAAAATCAGAAAAATCTTAATATACATTAAATAATGATTTAATAAAGTAAAAAATTAAATATCATTCAAATTTTTTAGTGCCATGATATTGACCAATATTTTATCCAATAACTTTTTATCTACTTGATTATGTTCGAATTAATAAACTTCAACCTTATTAACTCCTGCATCTTTCGGACTAACTTTACATCCATCTGACCTAACAGGAACTACAGTGATATCATCATTAAAATCAAAAAGTGATGTTGGTTTTACCAAACCTGTTGTAGCATTAACATTTTGAACATAATCATGTTTTTATATTCAAATTCATAATTGTTCCATGCATGCTGTAATATTAACACTTTCTGCAATAAAAGTATTATTGACTTAATAATTATTAGTACTATGCTATATGGCAACTAAGCTAGCAAAATAAGGTGAAGTTACTAGTGTTTGGGCATTTGCGTTGGGTAAATCAAGAAAAACTCTAACAGTGTATAGTCCTACTAATTTACTATACCCATAATGAGAATCAAGTTTATCTCTTAATATGTAGACCAATGCAGGCAAATTTGCCTGTGTTTTTGCACTTTTTTAG